TGTGTGAACGTTCGCGCACAGAAAAAGTGGGTGGGGGAACTTCCTCATATAGTCCATCCTCGCCTTCTATTCGAACTGACTGTGGCAGCTCCTACAGTTTACTTGGTAACAATAAACCTAGGTTTCGCCTCGAACTGCCAATTGATTCGGAATACTCACCTGCGGAAATTCAAATCCGAACTTTGAATCGTCGCATTTACGTGACTGCTAGACATGAGGAACGTCGATCCAATCGTACTGCAGTTCGGGAATTTTCTAAGGAGTATGACATACCAGATAATATTGATCCTGAAAGTTTGGAAGCAAGACTGGACAACGGTACGCTGTACATTGAAGCTGTGTTGCCTTAACTGTACGTTAAGTATGTATGCTTGTGCGCTTTTTATTGTTACCCATTCCAAACACTGGACTAATGATTCAGAATCATATTTCACGCCAAGTTTACTGTACACGCTTGATGAACTGACAAGCGGACGCGAGGAGCAGCTTTTGACACCAGTTTGAACACTGTTCAAAATGGACTTTTTTGAGCTTTATACTCAAACCCCCGATTGGTCTTGGTTTTGAATGGGTATTGAATGATACATCTCGATACAAATTGTCATGAAGACGTTTCATTTGCTTGAGCGCAGCAACTGATAATTCGATCACTGTTGTCAATATCACACTTGAAAGCAAACTTTTTCATCTGTACTTCATATTTGTTCGACAGAGTGAGATTATATCTTCTTTCATACTGGTTGCGTTTTGTCAAAATGTGGAATACAAACACCCCTTTATAAGACACAAGCTACATGTATCTATTTCACAGGTTACATCACTCCTGCACTGAAAATCAAAACAACTGATTTACGAGTTGTTTAATTTCACGTACATAGTTAATTCAACCACAAATTATCGAACTGTTCTTTCACGGACGACCAGCCTGATATGAGAATGACGCAGTTACGTACCAAAATATATTCGTGAGAATCTTCTCCATGATCATCTTCAAAATACTCAAGTTCACGGAACTGACTAAGATAGTGCTGGTGACTTGTATCTGTTAGAAAAGTTGTCTCAGTTATGTCTAGACTTCTGGAGGTAATCTCAATGACGATTACTGCATGCGATTCAGATAAGCGTACGCTACCAAACCAAACAAACTCGGGATCAGTTCTGCTAGTTGCATACCATTTGTGTTTGATAATCGAGGTCGTTTAAAAAGTTGCTTACGAGTTCCCACAGGCATCTGCATTCGGCCATATGAAATTCTTTTCAAGTCATTCCAACTTGTAAACTTGTCTTTTTACCTTTGAATCTGATTGATACGTTTTAATTTACATTTATAAAACTTTAGCACTAAAAGTAGGAAAACAAGTTCTTAATAGTCTGTTTTTGTGTTCGATCGTGTGCAACTAAAAAATGGTGGTTTTTTCAAAATCAGAATTACTGTGGTTCATTCACATGAACATCGAAAACCTTCAGATGTGGGTAGCTGAGGTTGCTTTTTAACAATGCCAGCCAATCGTTTGCCAAGCCATGTAGTCCCTCCTGAGCTTCCAGCTCATTGGCTTAAGGTTGGTAGCGAACATTTGATTATTTTCTCAGGAGGGTTAAAAGCGGAAATTAGAGATTGTGAGTAGTGTTCGTATGTCAGGAGTGAGTCTTTACCAGAAGTGATGGTCAACTGAGTTCACTGGCATGAGTGTTCACATTGCGTTATAAAAACAACCAAAGAAATGTAGCTATGAGTATAGCAAGTAAGCTGTTTTGTCGACGCCGCCCCAATCTCGTTTGTTTATTTTCAACATGCAAACACTAATACTGAATAGTTGAAGTTTCACGCGTGAGCTTCAATTCCATTACAACTCTTTATTTCAAAACTACTTCAGGCGTTCCCCCCTGTGATTTTATTGCCGCAAAGCATTCTTGTGCCACTGATGATCATGATTATGGATGTAACCAGATGGTATTGTGACTCATGGCAACCTTTATACCGATTTACTGCAAACATTAGGATTAGTTAAAACAGATGACACATATTTGCCACCCTACCGTGTTGGATAACCTGCCCAGAAGGTGATTTGAATCCAGTGGGGTTTATTTGCTCATTTTGTCCCTCTAGGCAATTCGGTTAAGAACAAAACGGATCATCTAGCCCGAGCTAGATAGTTGGTCTTAATGTGAGCAATGTTACAATGATCGCTTACGGCCCCTGTATGTACCAGGCTGAGAAAAGTACCCCCCACCAGCTCATTTGTTCAGATAATATATTGTAACATACAAGCCGGCTATCTTTACTCAGATTGCCCGTTGCGCTTATGGACCAGCTTTAGGGCAACATGGAGACACCAGTGGACAGCGTTCTTCCGTAGTAGGGTTCCCAAAAACAGTTCTGTAAAAGGAAACAACACACGCAAGCATGAGCCATAGGCCTAGTAAGCCATGCACAGACAACTTACACAAATGAAAACTAAAATGGTGCTAACAACACAGCAGCTCGCTCTGTTACTCAATTCCAATTCAAACCGCGCGTGCTTAATGGTTTCGACTACAGGTTATAATATACACAGCGGATCTAAAAACGGATACTTGAGAGTAGCCCAGAATGACTAGTTGAGCTTTTGTTCTCATAACATTAACGAGCTTGTCCAAATTCGTTTGCACTTATTACACAGAATCCGTCCTACGTAAGACAACAGCTCCATTAAGTACTCATAATATGATCATAGCCTATTCGGAATTGTTTACACTTCCAACTGTATACTAATCGTCTGTCCCAAGCAATCCAGTAGATGTTTTATTGGATTCATGTTAGTATATAGATAACAACCATTGTGAGAATGTTTTCATGGTGAGCGATGTTGTTTCGTGGTGATTAGTTAAGGGCGGTAGTGTTCAATGACGACTGGATGGTGGGTTGATAAACAATCATCTTTCTTCTCTTTCAATTGTCCACACAATAGCCTGCCTATTCATGAACCGAACCATCGTCATGTTAAAACATATGCAACTGTTAATGTTCTTACTATGTAGCTCATTTTGAAGAATTCTAGGACAAAAGTAGAATTTGTCGGTCCATACAGTTTTGCTTAATTTTGATTGCATACATCCTATGTTTGTGTGCTCATTCGATGAATTTCATCGACGGAGTTCAAGAGATACTAGCAGTTTAATCCAATCTCAACGGTTGCAGTGAAGAACATAGTGAGGATGAGTATATGATGATCAGTTGAGTCTAAAAATACAATGGGCGGAAATTCATTAAGTGAATAAATAAGAATTGAAGTTCTTCGAATGTCCGTTTTAATTGTGGCCAAACTCTGATTGAGTTCCACACACGCGGATGAGTAGCAGATTGTAATTTGATTCAGAACGACTAACTTGAATTCTTTCAAACAAAGTTAGATTGCGTGTTTCGTTTGGAATCCGTGCACAATCCCATGAAAATTCATTCATCTCATGATCTCCTTTTAAAAATGCCATACAATGGGGTCTGGTTTTTCATCAGTGAGAGGCTACTTTACTTAATTTTCTCGATTGCGTAGTTGACAGCGTTAATTATATCTCACGCTTCGGCTAAAAACAGTTTGAAAACTTGATGAACTGTATCAAGTTAACGGTCTGTATATCATAGTATTTGCATTGCGGAATATGTTTTCGAATAATCGACGGTACTTCGATCGTAAATTTAGACAGGAGCTCTATCACTGTCCAATCAATAAACTCAGTCGGCTGGAGCTGTCATACCATTGATCTCTTTAGTACAATAATGAATAGTGTATTATGGTTGCCGAACGTTTTACTTCAATTGCCTTTCTACTGGGATTTCGCATCCAGTTAGATGACTGGACGACAACATACAGTTATTTCTGGTTTGACCGAAAAGATGTTCAACTGTAAAATCTCTCTTCAGATCAAAAGTGATCGACGGTTGGTTTCAAACGTAGACTTCCAAGTAGACATAACGGTTTTATCTCACCGATTCCTAGGTTTTATATTGAAATCGCACTCGTTGAACTAACAACGAGCAATGAACCAGCTCAGGTCCGAATTTAGTCTTGACGAAGTAGAAACAGAAGACCGAGAGCTGTGGATATAGTTACAAGTTTGTTTTAAGCCACAAGTGCTATTACATGTAGCAATATATAAAGCAGTTGGTTGGACGATGTAAAATAGTGTTGCACTAATCTCATTCTGCTTTACAATCATGTAAATCGTGGGGTGCTCTTCTGCTTGACACTTATTAGACGAATAGCGTCGGGACCTTCATGAGTGGTTGTAGTCGCATCATTCCGAACCTGTGTAGTGTCGTGGTCTGAAAACGGCTGTCTAGGAAAGCCGGATTGCTATATTTTAACCGCAAACTGCAAAAATGATACATTTTCCGATTAATCATCTGGACATGGGTGCACCAATGGTGACAAGCTCCGGATGAGGTTTGAGAGAAGCTAACTGATGTAACTGTATCTACGGCCTGTGAGCGCGTAAACAGGCAAAGGAACAGTGGTAATGACAGGAAGGAGGACAGCAATGAACAGTGGGCTACGGAGTATACACTATCGATTCGTAAGTCCCCGGCCAACTCAACCACCTTAAGCTAACGCTTGAACACGTGGAAAAGACTGACCTTCAAGCAGAACCCTTTTATGTCACTCAGTCGGAAGACCACCTATTCACACACTCGTTCATAGTTAAAGGGTTTGCGATCAGCGACAAAACAAAGTCGAGAAGAGTGGACCAGACAAAAGTCCAGATAGTACAGTGTAGTCGGGATGACAACAAAATTGTCAGGACGACTGATGACGCTCGTGAAGGGCAGAGAAGTACAAAGCATGTAAACTATGAAGATAACTTACAGCTGTACCTTGTTAGGTCATTCGCAAAACAGTACTTTTGGGGAATTGAAGACTACCTCGACAGTAACAAATATGTGTTCAACTAGCTACTGTGATGAAGCCCCATAGGAAGGTTACACCGGTATAATATTTTTTAGAAGACCCAATTGTGAAAAATCCGGACTTCGGTTGGATTCGAACCAGCGACAGAAACAATGTGCCCAAACGGGGCAAATGCTCTACCGGCTGAGCTACAAAGTCGCTAGTTCGAATTCAGCAGAAGTCCAGATTTTTCACAACTGGGTCTTTTCTAAATTATCAAATTGTGGTGGATTGTCAGGCCGGAGGTGTGAGCGTTCCAACACTCGGTGGAATACTTCGACTCGGGGGAGTTACGTTCAAAACCCCACAACGAGCGGATGATGGACAACGGGGGCAATCGGATGAGTCATTGCTCGACCGGATCGGACCAACGGGCGAGACATGGTAGACAAAATAGAATGGACGACGAAATCGGAGGCGCGATTATTCCAGCACTCGCAGGAACATCTGGACACTCCTGTTGAATACGATCAAAGCCCACTGTGGATAGATAGAGGACAACACGAGCGACCGGATGATCCATCGCTCAACGGAATCGGACCAACAGACGAAGAATGGTAGGCGGAAAACCCCCCGATAGACGGCGTCGATCACACACATAAACCGGGCAGAAGTGTACACGACGTGTGTGTTGTGGACTGGAATTCTGACTCATAAACGTGAGTGCGCGTGTAGCATGGTAACTAGCGTGTTGGATAATGAGGATTGTGCTTTATTGGATGCCTTTTCACTACACAATGTGCCAAACCACCTATCGGTGATTTTTTCAGCTTGATGATATGAAGCTGTGACATTTGACTAGTAGCCGTTATATTTTTTTAAAATGTCACTTGGGAGTCAATTCCTGCTTACAGCTATTTGAATTCGAATGTTGCCATCACATTACTGGGGAAAATGAAGATGTTTGAGCAGTTACATGGAGCTATCATCCTTGCAAGTGGTACGTGGCAGAGACGTCTGATCTCACCCCCCTCCCACTAAATTCTGTGATGTATGTTCTTATGGTGATACTCGAGAGCACCAGATAGTCCGAATTGGAGCTCCTTTGAGATGATGACTTTTCCGACATCCAGTATGCAAACTACTGCCTTATTTAACCTTTCTGCAAACCAGTATAAATATTGGAGCTCGTTCGTTTGAAATATACTGTATCTGCGAATAATGAGGTACTGTTCACATATTTGGTAGGTTATGGCTGTGTCTGTATTTGTACAGTTAGTCACTTGGTGCTGTTGACAGCTTCGTCTAACTGGATAATGTCATCTCATCAGCTTGGAATATCACTGAGGGTTGACATACGAGGAACGCAACGATTAGGGATATACTAGCAAATATCCATCCTTTGTGGTCACACCAAAAAGCACGGTTGCCAGTTACAGAGGGTGTGTGGTGTGTGCATGAGTCCAAGTTTAACCCCATGGTTAGAAGCCTGGTTCATTTAAGAAGAAGCATATGAGCCATATATAGACGGTCATCTCTGTCCACTTCGGTTAGCATGTATGATGTGGGCTGATTGCGTGAGTAAAAGCATTGGCAAGCGTTTCAAAAATCTCCAGTTTCATGATTGCTAATCCAGTATATAAAATACACAGTCGAGATGTCGAGTCAGATACCACTTATTTTGACGGACCTTATTGCGAGACAATCAGCAGTGACCTGAATATGAGTTATATAAACCTTGACCGTGGTACTGCGTAAGGTCATGACGTTGGAAGGGGTTCAAGCATCTACATTACTGTTTACAAAAACATTCGGTCGAGGCAGTGTATCGCAGTCAATGACGTGTCCGCATTCATGTGGTTGTTCATGTCCCCTTTCAAACTTCCACTGATTTTATATTTTAATGCACATGTTAATTGATCAAGCTCTCAATTCATATATCGCCGTAAGTAATTATGTGTCTAAATGTACATTGTTTGATACGAGTTGTGTGAGTGGAACCACTAGTGGTACGGCGTAGTCCACTTGTGGAAGCGTCTTTGTTCTGGCGCCCTTTGGCTTCGGTCACTGTGGAAGGCGAACGCTGAACGGATGTGGCCAACTGTGTACATGTTTCACTCCTTGAGCAGTTGTATATTGGTATGAAGGGGAATTTGCAATCATGTAAATTGTCTTCTGACAAGTCGGAAACTTTCACTGCGATTGTTGTAACTGCAACAGATGCATGACATTGGAAGTTTTTTTTTTATCGCCAGACATCCTGTACAAGGTATATAGAAATAAACAACCATGGACACACATTATTTTACATGACCGACCTGTATCTATGACCACTGTCTTACCCGAAGGCTGGATAGTCCTAGAACACTGCTTGTTGCTATAATAGTAGCATACTTTAGCCATAAATACCACAACGTAAACTCTAAAATAATTTGCGTCATTATCTTTTTAGTTAATAACCAGTTGGACAATCTCCGATTAGACAACTACTGCATCTGCCAACCTCACTCCGTATGCAACACGAGTGATATGTTCAGTTACATCACCTGATAGTCAGAAGAGTATTCCTTAGAATGTACATGTTACATATAGGCCTCAAGGTTTTCAATTTGGTGTTTACCTTTTGGCTCAACAGCCACGACTTGTGTTGCTGGAGTATTATGATCCTTCACTTCTAAAAGAACAATCTGTTGTGTTTTATAGCAGTTTCTCTTTTTTGTCAACCCGTGCCATTTATATATCATGCTTAACTGACGGCAGGTAAGTTCAAAAACAACGAGCGTTGGAAAAAATCTACACATTAGCGGTTATTATGATGTAGCTAAAAAGCATCGTCAAATAGGGTTTATACGGAAACTGTCCGAAACGCGGCCGATCTATGCAAGTTAGAATATCGATCAACCAAAACAGTACGTTTGGCTAGGGAACAGTGCACACAGTCTACTAGGACACACAATGTTTAGTCTGCCCCAGTGGGCACAGCTAGTAGATATGCACTACCTGCCTCGTACATGTCTGGTGTATCTCGTGATCGCTTCCGGAGAATGTTAGTCTATCCAATGAACAAAATCTGTCGTACACAAATGGCACAATCCACAGAACTATCCTCCAAGCGAGAATAGTTATTTGTTGAAGTCTGCTAACAAATGAAACCCGCTGAATTCGGTTAGGCAACTGAATTAATAATCTCGAAAATGCTGATTGTATGTTTCGGAACCACCGTAGCGGAAACCCATGTTGTCCGTTGGCTAAAAGCCATTTCTGAAAGGGCGTCTGGATTATTTTATTTCTGTGGTGGAATAACATCATCAATTTCCTGATGGCCTGGGCAATAAACACCATGGCCAGTTGTGATATGAACTTCACACATTTAGACTGATGATAGATTATTGAAACGAGCTTGTTTACAATGCCGCTTTTACACACTGGTCAGTCAGTATAGTTCCAACAGAAACAAGCGTCCACCAATATTAAATGAAGTCATCGCTTTGGCGGCTGATTTGAACCAAAACGGTACAAATGAGCACGAGTTTCATAGGAACGTATGTTTTATTGTCATATTATTCAGTTATGTGCTTTACACAAGTGGACTAAAGTTGACTGGGAACAAGCATGTCATGTAGGTTCGAGAATGTGCGAAGAAGGAAATGCTGATTTGCTTTCGTGATTAAGTGAATATTCCTGATAGGAAACAAAGGGCCTAAGTAACATTTGTGATTAGAAACTTTGAAAGCTTCGTTTGAAAATAAAATCATTAGAATCCATTTAATTGATTTTTAACCTGCTAAGTTTGTAGTTTTTTTTTGTTAGGAAGCAATCGAAAAGAATAGGTTGTCACAAATCTGAAGGACATGGAACTTACTGGAAAAACTCGACGAAATGGTGGGACCATCACATTCTAAAAGACTACGCGATAGTAGATGATTATGCCGGATAATGGAAAATTGATTTACTCTTACGACTATGTGATCGATACTAATTGTTCATGCAATGCAAAGGAGGAACAAATAAATTCGATTCGAAACAAATTATCTTTACATCGAATTACCATCCCAGTCACTTTTACGAATATTTTGATTTATAATACGAACTCTTTATTTTAGAAGGAGAAAAAGAGAACATATTGTAAATATTGTTCAACAATACATTTATGTATAACCTTATTTTATACAACCAATTAAGTAGGGGGAATAACCAAGTAGCTAAGTTCCAATCGCTAAACTGAATCTACAGTCTACCGATATGTTTAAATTTACAATACTTACCGAATAATCCATTGTGAGCCAGACCAGTACCAGATAACCAAGGATTACGACGAGCATCAGCAGTCTGACCATGAATCACAAACGTTTTGCGATTGATAGTATAATATCGATGTACAACGAACTCCCGATAGAATCCATTAATAGGTATACAACCCGTTTTCGTACAATCCGTATACTCGTCAGGATAAGCAACAAGACAATAACCTAAAGAACACACGCTCCACTGACATCCTCCAATTGAAGTTGACCACCGCGAGTGTCACTATGAAAGCGGACCCTCATATCCTTGATGCGGTAACGTTTGCACAAATTCAATATACGCATGACGTGTTCAGTATCAGCTACACGAGGAGTTATCTCAAAATAAGGTTTATCGGTAAGTAAATCAATGACGCTAATGAACTTGAGGCAGACAAAAGAGGAATGCAATCCAGGACGAAACCGACGTATACGTCGGTCAAGCTGACGTCTACCATAAAGTACCCCAGGACGACGACGACAACTGAACTGTAGATACCTTCTCTATCTCACATTGCCGCGTTAATCCCTTTGACATATCTACCTTATAACAAGCAACCAAACTAACCAAATCCTAAACTTCCTTCAACACTTCCAACAAACGTTCACTATTCACAACGCAGTAACGCAAATGCGGTACGTTCTTGCAATATCGCCTCCAAGCACTTTACGTACGTTTACTACTAGTCCACGGATGTCCAAACTTACGAAGTCGATTGCAACCCATAACTATTCATCTAACATACTACCCGTGTATAGACTGCTTAACGGATCCGATCAGTGAACTCCTTGTAATAATATAAAGAAGTTTACTGGTTAACGTCAGGGTCAAATATGAACTCAACTCAACTCAAAACCAACCTAACTTGTCCGACCCTAACCCAGTTGGCTGACATAGCATGTCCAAAATTCGGATCAACGATACTCGAGGGTTCA